TATACCTCTTGAGGTATTACAAATAACATGACCTTTACAATATTTTATCCAATAAAATATGCTTATTAATCCTATTTCTGTATTACTAGCTTACTAATTGCTAATTACTAATTCTCTGAGTAATTATTACAAATAATTTGATTAATAATTCGAAATAAATAATTATGTCATAAAATAAGTTAAAAATAGAAATGATGTAATGATCTACACGTGTAACATGACGTGCAAAAGCATATCAGATAATTGCACTTATTTTACTTCGATATATTCTTTGACCAGATGTGAAGTCATCCGGGTTCGATGTTATCCCTCGAAGAATAATGTTACCATTGTTCATGTCACTTCGCTTTTCGCTATGACAATCACTAGTAATATTAGGGAGCTTACTACTTTCTTCCATTGTCAGATCCGGTCTAAACAATTTCTGATTTCGTAAGTCTTTTTCAATAAACTGAATGAAGTTGGACTACTCATTACTGTTATCTCATCCTGACATCTAATAGGTTATAATACAAATCAGAGGTTGCAAGCATTAACATGACTCTTGATCTAATAATGTTAGATTGTGCAAGGTATAATATAGATTGTAAAGATTGTGGCATTAAAGGGCATTGTAAACATTAACTCCTTTCATTCTACAATCTCACTTTCCATTATAACTCCTTTATTTATTTTGGAACTACTAATCCTAAAATGGATAGTCTTGTCTATTTTTAAATAAATTAGAAGATTTTATTTCGAATATTTGGTATATTAATTTTCAAAACAATTCTTCAAATTGTTCATCTGATTAATAGTGAATTTCTCATCAGAATATGTCATTCTGGATGCAATAGTTTTTTGATGGATTTTCTCATTGATAGCTTTTTGCTACTTAATATTTACTCTTTGGAGTATGCTTCCTCAAGTTTATTAAGTTTAGATGTTGAATTTTATAAAAATTTGCTGACACCAGTGCTCATTATTAATGTAGATTCTCGATTTTGCTAACTTCATAGTTAAAACGAATTTCATAATAAAAGAAAGTCAAGTTTATAATATAATAAATTGATATTTTATTTAATGATTTGGTTATAAAATACATGTAATAATAAGATAGATGAAAAAGTTATAAAATTCAACATAAGGTTGAAAGTTAGGAAAATAAACTCCCTATTTATAATAAAATTATATTTCTGAAGATCACTTTGATTATTCATCAATTAATAAGATTTCTAAAATACTTAATAAAATTCTCTTTAACTGACAATACTCCTGATCATTGATTATTCTTCTGATTATTAATTATTTTATTCCTCTGTGTATTGATTAGTAATCTCATAGATCCCTGACTCATTATTCAGAATATCCAGTATTATTGCCAGTTCCTTTTCATCTTTTTTGTCTTGTTCTCTTTGTATCTCTATTTTTTGTATCTCTTTTTCGTATATTTTGGTAAATTGCCTTGTTCTCCATATTATTGTATCAACTTCTTTTTGAGTGTATATTTTTTCTTCAGTTTGAGTCTCTTTTTCTCGAGTGCTACCTGTTTCTACTGGTTCTCCTTTTACTAGACTTTCAATTTTTTCTTCAATTTCTTTGAACCTTTCTTTGTATTTTTCAATTATCTTTTCCATTCTTTCAATGTATTTACTTTGTTGTTCTTTATAATTCTTTTGTGAAGTTCTATTTTGCTCTCTTCTTCTTTTCTTATTTTCCCTTTCTTGGGTGGTTTCTCTGAAAATTTGTTCAAAGTCTGATTTTTCTTTGGCTTCTTTTTTCTCCAGTCATTTTTGATGGGTATTTATAGTACTTTAATTTCTCCGATCATGCCTTTCTTATATAAGTTTTTGTTAGTTAATAAAATTCTCTGATTACTCAGCTTTTTCTTCTGATTAGTAATATTGGTTATCTTTTTCTCTTATCTCGTCTAATCTCTCTTTTAATATATTACATGTCCTACAATTTCTTTTGTGACTGTTAGTGGTCTAATATTTTCTATTATTTCCTTTATAGTCCATGATCTGTATCCTAATTGTTTGTTCATTATTTGATTGATGATTACTCCATAGTCTTCTGATTTCTTGTTTTCTTTTCTTCTCTTTTTGTATTCTCTTACTTTTTCACAGTATTCACAGGTACAATCCTCAAATCTTTTCCTTCCGAATTTATCTATTAATTTCTCTTCAAAATTTAAGAATCTAAGATATTTTATACATTGATCACATTTTTCTAGGGATGTTAAACAGCTGACTCAACCGTGGTTGAACCGCAGTTTGTCGATCTGATTTACATAAATAACCAATTAAATTTTAATCATGATAAATGTAACAATTTTAAATAAAATAAATAAGAAATAGTCTAAACATTATAGTCAAACAAATTATTTATTTATTTTTACTATTAAGTTTAGAAACATTTGGATAGATGAGATTATCTGTCTGTTTATAAATAGAATAAATAATATTTTTACTACAATTAAAATATTTGTAAGAAAGTGTTTAATACGTTTTGAAGTAATTCTTTACATATAATGTCTAATGACAATGATTTTTCTGACAACAACAATAATTATCTTCCTGAGTTTGAAATTAACAGAACAAGAAAATGATGATGACAATGACAACAATGACTCTATTTTAGATAATATAACAAATATTTGAAAGTCTATCTTCAACTAATAATATTTGCTCACCTCCTGCAATGGAAAATATATCTAAGTAATAAAAGTAAAACAACATCTGCAGTTTGGATTTTATGTATAAAAAATATAATAGTCAAAATGAAGTTATAGGAATTATTTGTAGTTTATGTGAAAAAAATTATGCAAAAAAATCATCAACATGACCACCTATGGATCATTTAACAAAAGAACATAGTAATATTCTTTCTACAACAAATCAATTGCATGTATATGTTAACCACTCATATTTAAAGTATGTGATCAACAACGGTTATTAAAATTGACCAATCAGATCTTAGTATATGATCGACAAACCACGGTTGAACCGCGGTTTTAAACCACGGTTCAAACCGGTCTAACACGGTTTTTAAACCGAACCGAACCGACTCAACCATTTAACATCCCTAACTACAATGTTTGTGAATAACACCCAAAAACGTCCAAGAGGATTTGATCATGATGATAGCATGTTATTGTGTTAAAAATGGGTAAATTAAAAAAAAAAAAAAGAATTTATATTTAGAACTTTATTAAATTAATAAAGCAAAGTAAAACTACACCATCCATCCAAGCTTTCTAATGAATGAAATGAGTTCGCTACACAAAACTACATTATTCAAAATGGCATTACTTCAAAGCTGTGATTATTTTAATTTAAAAAGTGGTTGAGCAGATGTAAAGTCCTTTAATTCGTAACCATAATAGAAGTATTTTTTGAAATGTACGGTTTCTCGGTAACAAAGTCAAAAAAAAAAAAAATAGATATATTTTGCGTATGACAATTAGTGCATGTGTTTATTTATTATTTGAAATAATATCCGAATATTAATATCATTCATATTCGTTAATTGCCGAATATTAATATCATTCATATTCATTATTTGAAACCGAATATTAATATCATTCATATTCATGTGATTGATATCCGAATATGAACAAAACATTAAAACACTAATAACAATCAGTCAATCAAATTTGTACCCTTATATTGTGGACGGAGAATTATTTATTTATGTGATTTATGTGATGTAAGAAGAAACAAAACCACGCACACTTAGCCCCATAACCTTAATTCCTCTAAAAATGGAAATGCAAAGACCAAAAAGCAAATCATAGAATTAAAGCTAAGTTATTTCTCCATAATTAGAGAAAATTGTTTTCTGTATTTCATAAATTTCTGTAGGATTTGCGAAATATAAATGAATAGAGTGGCTCTTTTTCATAATGCCTTCATAATGATTATAAAATCTCGAATAGTATCAATTCGTTCTCAAACGAAGAATACCCGGTAGTTTTGGAAATAATATTTAGTATTATCTATTGATATAATCAATAGACAGTTATGCTGGTGTTGTTAAACATATACAAATGTGAAGCAAGTAACAAATATCTGACAAAATTTCTTTAAAATCACTAGCTACACATGTAAACTCGATAAGTCAGATGCAAGCAATCAATTGTTTAAAGTACTTGATTTGCTTTATGTCACCTTGAATTGCATAGATAATTATTAATCATCACTACCAATTAATAATACAAATAAAAAAAGTGGGTTATATAATTGTGATAAATTCAGTAAAAAGCTTCCTATCCGTTAATTTCATATGACGTTTTCTTTGAAAAGTATTTTAATAAAAAATGGTTGCTACAAGGAAAAAGTTGAGAGGGTTATAATTAAAACTTTCCAATTGAAATATTTTTTTTTTACAATTTTGTGTTCTGAATACCAATAAATCTTGTATATGTCGAGAAATTGATTTACATTCTAACAAGAACGTTTATTAAGAAATTGGTTCAACGTAGAATCATTACATATGATTGACCAAAAATTACATTCCAAATAGTGTTATATTGCGAACAATTATTTGCTTGAGTGAAGGAATAATTGATAATATATCAATCAGGGTTGGAAAATTTACTGGTGGACTTTGGACTGGTCCATTGCCATTAATAAAATACTAAATGGGTGTGGACAATAGAAACGGACCACGTTGTGAAAAAAGCAATTTTGAGTTAGTATCACTATTATATGTAATTCCTCATGTAGAACATTTTTGGCTTAGAAACCATACCCACTTTGCTTAATAAAACTTTGAGATACCCTCCATTAAAGTTTTAAAAACAATAGTAAATTACTTGAAATGCAGATCTTTTTTTAAATTTTCTCAAAACATCATTTTCACAACATGGTCCATTTCTATTGTCCAGACCCCATATAATGTATATATATATATATATTTGAATGTGACACATACCGTAACTGGACAATCAAATTCTGCACCTTCAGATTTTCCAATCCAATTTCTTTGCATTTGTTTAACATGTTCTGGCCAATCATTCAACAAATCAAGATCATTCAATAATGACTGATTATATATATAAATATTATTTTATACATAATAATATGTAGATTAATATGAATTAATATAGATTTTTGATTTAAAAAAAAAAACAAAGATATACACATATAGATTAAAAATAAATTAAAATAAAAAACCTCAGTGAAATCAGTGATTTTGATAAACCATTGCTTTAGCTTACGATGCTCCACTTTTGCTCCAGATCTCCAAGAAAATCCATTAGAATCTACCTGGGTGGGTTTTTAGACCTAATATAAATAATTGAATATTATACCGAAATGATCATATTTAAAAAGTATATATTTTTTTGCGATAATTTATTTAATACCTGTTCATTTGCCAAAACTGTTTGATCAATTGGATCCCAATTCACTATAGCTTCTTTTTGGTAAGCCAAATTGGCTTTATATATTTGAAGAAAGAGGTATTGCGTCCATTTATAATAATCTTTATTACAAGTAGTTACTTCCTATAATTAATCCATTAATGAATATTTACTTATTTATTAAATTGATCAATTATTAAACATATAAATATTTTAATAAACCCAACCCTTTCCCAATCAAAATCAGCAAGGATTTTTCCTAGTTGAGATTTCATAGTTTCAATATTACTGATAGTCCATTCTGCAGGATTAATTCCGCGTTCAATTGCAGCATTTTCTGCTGGAAGACCAAATGCGTCCCATCCCATTGGGTGAATCACCTTTACTCATCAACAAAAGGATTATTAATATACAATAACATTACAAGTAAAGCATGCAAGTATAAATATTTTATTTATTTATTTATTTATTTATTATAAATACCTCATATCCTAGCATTTTTTTAAACCTTGCAATAGTATCACTAATAGTATAAACTCTCACATGACCCATATGTAACATACCACTAGGATATGGAAACATTCCTAACACGTAAAATTTTTCTTTTTTCTCATTTTTTTGCTCTTTACTGCTACTATTAGTTACATCATTACTTTTCATTTCTTTCCATCGATTTATCCATTTTTGTTCTATTTCCTTTAAATTAAAACTCTTTGTCAAAGAAGAATAACGATAGTAGTTATTATGCTTCTTATGATATCTGATGAGTACATCAAAAAATTTATTTGCAAATATAAAGTTATTATTATTATTATTGCTACTATTATTAGATACACGTTGAAAATTTCTCAAAATCATTTTTTTATTTTTTTTATTATTGATTATCAAATCACCAGATTAATATCATGATAATAGGTTCGTCTTCTCGTGTTACCATTAGTTCAGACGCCGCCGTGTCACTAATTTAATTCATTTTCTTTACTTTTTTGAACTTTATATTTTTCATCTCAGTAGAATAAAATTTTTTATTTTTCTGAAAACATATTTTATAACGCTCTTTGCAAAAATTTAATTTATTTAATTAGAATATTATTTTTTCGTGACTTGTTTGTTCTTTCAGTCATAATCATCGCAAACCTTTTCGTAAATATTTATATAAAAGATGGCACATGTAAGTATATTATAACATTAACAACTGTTCAAAGGCTTTTTTAAAAAGAAAAAAATAGATTGATCATTTTGTTTAATTGATAAAATGTAGCGAATGGGTGGACGGAAAAAGAACAATAAAAAAGGATTCCAATTCACTCTTATGGTTGTTGGTAAGCATTAATGAAAGTTATGCACATCTATCTACACATATATAACACATCCCACTCGACAAATTAAATTTGTATTTAATTTTATGTGACCTAATTTATTATCTGTTCTAGGCAAAAAAATAAATTATCTTTATATTAATTATATTAATAAATATTATTTGAAATGTAGATCTTGTCATTATTAACAATCAAATTAAATAACTACTACTATTATTATTATAATTGAATTAGGCGCATCTGGTACTGGCCGTACAACGTTTGTTAATACACTTTGTAGTAGTGAAGTATTAAAAGCAAAATTATGTGATTCACCTGAAACTGCCCATGTCGAAGAAGGAATTCGTATTAAACCAGTTACAGTTGGTAATTAATTAATAAATCATTTATGATTATTAATATTAAAGGAAAAAAGTTTTTAAACTTTACACACACACACACACACACATATAGAATTGGAAGAAGATGGTGTAAGAATTGCTTTGACAATTGTAGATACACCAGGATTTGGAGACAATATTGATAATGAATTTTGGTGAGATTTTATTTTAAATATAATACTATATATATTTTGATGTATATTAATGATATATAAATATATTTATATTTATCAATTAGTTTTCAAGAAATAATGGGTTATCTGGAAAGACAATATGATGATATCCTTGCCGAAGAATCTAGAATTAAACGTAACCCAAGATTTAGAGACAATAGAGTTCATGCGCTTCTTTATTTCATCACACCCACAGGTCATTCGTAAGTAATATGTTTCATTTATTAAGATTTTATTTAATTAAAAAAAAATTTTTCCTTAAAAAAAAATTTTTAAATAAATAATAGTCTTCGAGAAATTGATATTGAACTTATGAAAAGACTCAGTCCACGTGTCAATGTCATCCCAGTTATTGGTAAATCTGATACTTGTACACCAGCTGAATTATCAGATTTCAAGAAAAGGGTATGTATTATAAATATATTGAAAATATTGTTTTTTAAAAAAGCCGTTAAAAAGTTTATTATTTTTATTGATAATGATAGATAATGGAAGATATTGATCATTATAGCATTCCTATTTATAATTTTCCTTTTGATTTTGAAGAAGATGATGAAGATACAATCGAAGAAAATAGTGAACTACGGGTATGGGTTTTTAATTATTATGATTTAATGTATTTAAACAAAATAACCCTTTTTTTCCTATTGAGCAAATATATTTACAATTATATTTACATTTATTAAAAGGCACTTTTACCGTTTGCAATTATTGGGAGCGAAGAAGAAATTATTGTTAATGGAAAACCAGTTCGTGGAAGACAATATCCTTGGGGTGTTGTTGAAGGTATAAATCAATCCATTACAATCAATAACAAATGTTTCTTTTTAATAATAATATGAATGAATACCTTTAATTTTCATATTAAAAAAAAATAGTTGATAATCCACAGCATTCAGATTTTGCAAGGTTGAGATCAGCTTTATTGAGGTAAGTATTATACCATGTGTTTTTCTATTATTATCTTTAAATTCATAATAAGACTTTATATTTTTTTTTTGTTATAAAATAGTTCTCATTTACAAGATTTGAAAGAAATCACACATGACTTTTTATATGAAAATTATCGTACCGAAAAACTTAGTCGAAGTGAAGACAACTCTGAAGACGAGTAAGTTAAACAATATGCTCGATTTGTTTGAGAAATGGAAATGTTACAATTATAATCATAACAATAATAATAATTCTAAATTTAATATTATATAGAGAACAAAGTAGCAATTTACCTGACGATCTTGCTACTCAAACTGTACGTTTGAAAGAAGAACAATTGAAACGTGAAGAAGAGAAGGTAATAAAACTTAAATTAGAAATTTCTACAAAAAAAAAAAATTATACTAATTTTATTTGTATCAATTAATTTAGTTGAGAGAAATTGAATTAAAAGTACAACGAGAAATCACAGAAAAGAGACAAGAACTATTAGCAAAAGAAGAAGCATTGAGAGATTTGGAAGCTCGTTTGGCTCAAGCTCAAGAAACTAATAAATAAAATTTATTGATTATATAATTTTATATAATACATTTGATAATACATATATATAGATATAGATATATATATACAAACTGATTTATAAAAAATTGTTATTTGGATTATAGAGGAAGGGTTGGAGACATTTTCACTATTTTTTAATTATTTATATCTGTAATGATTTATTTAATGTCATTAATAATATTTATTTATTTTGACTATTCTTTAATTTATTTATTTATTTAATAATTTAATTACTTTCAATAAATGCATTAGAAGTGAAAAATCTAAAAATATTTTTTGACAAGCCTTTTTTATTTTATAAATTGGAATGCACGTGATATATCAAAATGAAACAATTCTGTCTTGATACCACTAAATGGATTGTGCTTGATTCTTTACCTTTAATGTCCTTCAAGGAAAAGGACTCAAAAACTAATGCCAGTTTTTTAAACAGAAAGGCTAAATACAATGGCTTAAAGTAATTCTAGTAATTGAAGGCTTTTTGTTGGAAAAAAAGGATGTTAAACAAATAATTAAATTTGAACGGCCTTATTAAATCAATAATAATAGAAAATTCCTTTTACTACAATATGCATGCAACTATTTTTCAAGTAACATTTGAAACATTTTCTCCCAATATACATGAAAAATTGTGTATTCAGTATCCATCGCTTATTTTATCTGGAAACAGTGTTAATATTTTATACACTTATGCGAAAAATTAAAAAATTTGCAAGAATTCAAATATACAAATAATTTGAATCAATTATAATTAACATTGTTCTTATCACTGTCAAAGTTCAAGTTATTTAAATACTGTAATCCATGCACAAGCCATCTTTGATCCCGACATCTAAATCCATTGTTTTCATTAATTAATCTGTCACGCTCAACTTGAAAAATCTCTGACCTGACTTCTTTTAATAGTTGACCTAATCTATTTAATCCCTCACCATTCCCACCATCTCCCCAATACCTATCATTCGACGTATGTTCTATTATCTCAGCACCACACGTAGAAAGTAATTTAAATCGTAAATAGTGAAATTGTGAAAATTTACACTTTAATGCTTTTTTCATAATTAACTCTTTGAATATCTTCCTGTCTTCTGACACCACCGATTCCCAATTTGCTCTTTTCTCTTTATCATATGATCTAGCAATTGAAAATGCTTCTCTTGCTGATTTTGCATATTGAATTTTTTTACGAATTGTTGGATTTTCAAATTTTGATGATTGAACTATCAATCCATTGATAAATATTATATTATTAATATTATATTTTGAGAAAGACATAGAAACATCTAAAGAACCACTTACAATAATGTTCAGTAGTTGGCCAATCTGCACCATCTATCGATATTTTCTTTATTGGATTATAAAAATTAGTAAACTCATAATAAAGTTCGTCCCTATTATAAAATTTGATTACTCCTTTTCCTGATCTGCTATAATATTCATACTTTATCACAAGGAAAAAATAAATAAATGAATATTAATATTAATGCGAGCAAGAATGCATTAATTCTAATTATACCTTACTTACCAAATGGTCCATAAGTAAAATAAAAGCATCCTTCATCGTTTCTCTACGAGCCAATAACAATGTAGCCCTGGCCTCTCGAAGTTCACGTTTGGTATAAGCTAAATTTGATTCAGTAACTTCTCTTATCACGATAATATCTATTGTATGAATATCACAAATATTGCGAATGCTTTTTATAAATCCTGTTAAAGGGACCATTCTCATTTCTCTGGGGTCTACATTTAAAATCACCACAATTCCGAATTGGTTTATCCAACAATTCAACGAACAATCTAGAATAAATTTTACAAGATTTCGAAATTCTGTTTCAAAATAATATACTGCATTTTTATTAAATGCATCATATATGATTTTATGTAATACAAATCCATCACAATCCTCTTGCTTCATATCAAAATATTTGCTAATATTTT